GGGGCACCTAGTCAGCCAAGAAGGATGCGCGACAGGAAAGAATGATCGCAGTGTCCCAATTCAGCTATACAAACTGCCTTGAAGCCATAGGATGCTCTGGAGTTTCAAGCAAACTCCAAGGCACTATGTCTCAAGTGGGGCAAAGCCAGTTTAGCCCCGATTAACTTGCACTACTCATTAGAAATACAGGAGTGGCATGAGGGCAGCCAGAAATCATCACCAGCTGTTAGGATTTCTGGGTGTTGGAGGCCAAAACACCTGGGGACCCACAGGTTAAGAACCACTGCTGTAAAAGGACCCATCTGCAATGACCACTTAATCCAGTTTTGCTGAGCACTTAGGAAAAAAGTGGTTTTGCTGAGCACTTAGGAAATCCTGGAACCGGTTTGAGGCCTAAGTGGTGATTAGAGAAACCACAGAACACTGATGCACATTAAGGGAGCTTTTGTGGATGTTTGCTGTCTGGCCCCCACAGTTGGAAGCTAGCTTTGAATTGCATTAAACAGTCCGTGTAGACAGGGCCTTAGGGCCCTTCCACACAGCCAAATATCCCAGAATATCAAGGCAGAAAACTCCACAATATTTGTTTTGAACTGGGTTATCTGAGTCCACACTGCCATATATTCCAGTTCAAAGCGGAAAATGGGGAATTTTATTCAGCCAGAATATTAAGGCAGAAAATCCCACATTATCTGTTTTGAAGTGGGTTATCCAAGTCCACACTCAGATAATGCAGGATTTTCTGCCTTGATATTCTGGGATATAGGGCTGTGTAGAAGGACCCCCAGATAACCAAGTACAGTATTTTCTTGGCAAGATTTGTTCAGAAGAGGTTTGTCATGGCCAGTGAGTTCTTGAGTTAGTATGACTGAACAAGGATTCAATCCCTGGTCTCCCAGAGTCACAGTCCAACACCCAAAAACACTACACTATGTGAGATACTGATGTTGAAAAAAGGTTATCACCAAACTCTGTAGCATATCCAGAAGAGGGCAACAAAGATGGCAACTTTCCCAGAGAAAAGTTGAAGAAGTCAGTTATTTGTACCTGAGAGACAAGTATAGCGATGATTGTCATCATCATAAATGATGGCGCATGGGAATTGCAGCCCAGTAACCCTTGGACTTCAACCTTAGAAATGGATAGGAAGAACTTCTAAATGGATAAACTATCCATGGAAATAGAGGGTTCTCCTTGACCAGAAGTTTTAAAGTGAAAGCAGAGGGGCCTTTTGTTGGTGGTGTCGTACTACTAGACTTGTTCTCTTGGCATGAAATGTTCAGATCCTTCCATCTGTTTAATACAGAAAAGGCTAGTTTCTCTTCATTTCCATTTTAGGTGTATCCCAACAGCATCTTAAGGGCACTTGCTGAGAACATAGGAAAGCATTTCCTTCAGAATTACAGCCAGAACGTGGACTTCTCTACTTTGGGAAATTAGTCTTATAACACACTCTTTTCTGCCATTTCAGAACATATTCTGTTCCTCTTGATATTTTTAGATTTGACAGATTAATTTTACCTACTATTTTATCTGAATGCTTTTCTCTCTCTTTGTCTGATTCTGTCTTATTTAGCCCTGCTCTTGAATGAAGCTGTGATTATTTTTGATTGTGTGTGTTGGCCACCCCAAATAAATTGACTTACAGAAACACCCTCGCACACGTATTTTCTGCTGGAAGCAAACATGAGATATCACCTGGTTTACGGTCAGATGTGACTGGCTTTCAGCTATCACAAAATACTGCCATGGTTACACTATGCAACCAAAAGCTAGTTTAAGAGAATATGCCCCAATCCTTTTTTTATCTCACTGTCACATTCTGGGAGCAAAACAGAAACAACAATAACGTGAAGGGCAGTGTGTACTGATAGTAGCCAATCATGACTTCCCAGAATTAATTCCAGATAGTATGTTCAATTCTAGCCAGAATACAGCTTGCAAATATGTATGTGAGAGAGTTTTGGAAGCTTCTAACCCACATGTAATTCAATATTCTATACTTTATAGAACCAAGACACTGATGATAGACCAAACATGGTTTTCAGTTTCACAGAACTCTTCTTCCACATAGAAACTGTTCTGTGGTCCAGGAAAGCTTATATTTTCTCATACTAACCTAATATTAAATAAATAAATAAATAAATAACCATTCTGCTTACAATTCAATCAGGTGAAATTTTTATTCCTTAAAGGGTTTACAGCAGTGTTTCTCAACCTGGAGGTCGGGACCCCTGGGGAGTTGCAAGGGAGGTTTCAAAGGGGTACCAAAAAGCCATCACAAAACACGTATTTCTGATGGTCTTAGGAACCCAAATCCCCCCAGTGTTTTCTGTTGGTCATGGGGGTTCTGTGTGGGAAGTTTGGCCCAATTCTACCGTTGGTGGGATTCATGGGGCTCTTTGATTGTAGGTGAACTATAAATCCCAGCAACTACAACTCCCAAATGTCAAGGTCTGTTTTCCCCAAACTCCGCCAGTATCCAAATTTGGGCATATTGAGTATTCGGACCGAGTACATCCTACATATCCAATATTTACATTACAATTCATAACAGTAGCAAAATTACAGTTTTGAAATAGCAACAAAAATAATTTCATGGTTGGGGGTCACCGCAACATGAGGAACTGTATTAAGAGGTTACTGCACTAGGTCTCCTGACGTTTTGCCCATAGCTATGGAAGGCATCCTCAGAGGTTGTGAAATCTGTTGGAAACTAGGCAAGTAGAGTTTATATATCTGTGGAATGTCCAGGGTGGGAGAAAGAACTCTTGTCTTCTTGAGGCAAGTGTGAATGTTGCAATTGGCCACCTTGATTAGCAATGAATGGCCTTGCAGCTTCAAAGCCTGTCTGCTTCCTACCTGGGGGAATCCTTTATTGGGAGGTGTTAGCTGGCCCAGATTGATTCTTGTCTGGAATTCCCCTGTTTTTTGGGTGTTGCTCTTTCTTTACTGTCCTGATTTTAGAGGGTTTTTTTTAACACTGGTAGCCAGATTTTGTTCCTTTTCATCGTTTCCTCCTTTCTGTTGAAATTGTTCACATTCTTGTGGATTTCAGTGGCATCTCTGTGCAGTCTGACATGGTGGTTGTTAGAGTGGTCCAGCATTGGTTCATCAGATGCTTTGCAATAGCTGACCTCTCAGGTTAAGTTAGTCTGCAGTGCCTTTCACGTTCCTTGATTCATGTTTGGGCATCGCTGTGCTTTGTGATCCCTATGTAGACTTGTCCACAGCTGCATGGCATACGGTAGACTCCTGCAGAGTTGAGAGGATCCCTTTTGTCCTTTGCTGAACTTAGTATTTGTTGGATTTTCCTTGTGGGTCTGTAGAATGTTTGTAGGTTGTGGATTTTCTTAGTGAGTCTGTAGCACCCATACTTCAATATCCGTGGGGATCCTGGAGCCAAACCCCAACAATACCAAGTGCCAACTATATAAGCCAATTTACACTTTTCTTGAACAGCCCAGAGGCAAAAATGTTACTGTGCACATCTTCTGAGAAATATCTTATGGAAAAGCAACTTGGCACAGAGGTCATAGGTTTATCCCAGTCTCTAAGCTACTGGCCACCAATCTAACAAATTTCCAGAAAAGGAATGAATGGTAGCTAATGATTGTAGCCCTCTCCCTGCTTTCCTTTTGCTGGCAGGCATATATTTTAATTCAAGCAAGCTTTTTTTGCATAAGCAGGGGAGACGTTTACTGGGCATGTGTTACAGATCTTTTCATTTATGTATGTTATTAATTCCTTTCCTAATGGATATGATACATTTTCAAATTACTTTAATTCATTCATGGGCAAACCTGGGCCCTCCCTCCAGGTGTTTTGGACTTCAACTCTCATAATTCCTAACAGCCTCAGGCACCTTCCTTTTCCTCCTCAGCTGCTTAAGTGGAATGGGCCTGAGGCTGTTAGGGATTGTGGGAGCTGAAGTCCAAAATATTTAGAGGGCCCAAGTTTGCCCATGCCTGTTCTACAGTGCCCCCCTCCCCCCAAACTTAGGGAAGCAGATGGGGCATCCTCATAGGCATCTACATTAGTCCTGGGCAAATTTCAACCCACCCTCCAGGTGTTTTGGACTTCAACTCCCACAATCCTAACAGCCTCAGGCCCCTTCTGCTTATGGGGCTGAGGGGGAAAAGGAAAGGGCCTGAGGCTGTTGGGAATTGAAGTCCAAAACACCTGGAGGACCCATGCTTGCCTCTACCTGCTTTAATTACATGTTAAATATGTTCAATTTAGTGGTACTGGAAACAATGTGGGGTCCCATTCTGGCACACCAAAGGGAGGGCACTCCTGCCACTTCACATAATTTGAGAAGGACTGTCCTGTAACACACTTTTAAAGTGGGAGAGACCCCAAGGGCCATTCAGTCCAGCCCCCTTCTGTCATGCAGGAACACAGAATCAAAGCACCCCAGACAGATGGCCATTCAGCTTCTGCTAAAAAACTACCAACGAAGGAGGACTCTGCAGGACTTAGAATCATAGAGTTGGAAGAGACCTCATGGGCCATCTAGTTCAACCCCCTGCCAAGAAGCATGAAAATTGCATTCAAAGCACCCCTGACAGATGGCCATCCAAAGCAGCACTGCCAAACAGCTCTTATGACCAGGGAAGCTTTTTCTAATGTTTAGGTGGCATCCTTGTGCCGGCAGGCCTGAAGACCGTCAGGTCGTAGGTTCAAATCTGGGGAGTGTGGATGAGCTCCCTCTGTCAGCTCCAGTTCCTCATGTGGGGACAAGAGAGAAGCCTCCCACAAGGATGGTAAAACATCGAAATATCTGGGCCTCCCCTGGGCGACGTCCTTGCGGACGGCCAATTCTCTCACACCAGGAGCAACTTGCAGTTTCTCAAGTCGCTCCTGACACGGGAAAAAATTCCTTTCCCCTGCAATTTGGATTCCAGGAATCCTTTAAAGTGGAGGCAGGGCGCAGTCTCCCCCAATCAACCCCCTTCTCCCCCGATGTAGGAAACAGAGGAAGGAATGCAGATACTCACTGGTCGCGATGATGATGGCCACCACATTACTGTCCATGGGCACACTGGTGGTGGGCGTGTGTGTCTGGGCCTCGCCGGACTGGGTCATCTCCAAGGCGGTGCTGGTGCCCGGATGGCCTTGCAGGTGGGACCCGTCCCCTTTCAGCGCCTGCCCCACAAGCCCAGGCAGCCCACTCGGGGTGGAGCCTTGCTCCTCTCCTGCTTTGCTTGGACTGATCTCGGGAGAGGATGTCCACCTCCGGAGTGGCAGCGTGCTCCTTCCTTCCCAGTCACCTCCCGCCCGCCCTCAGCCTATGCTGCCTATTGTGCTTCGCTCTCTCACTCATGCCTGCTGCATTTCGCGCATTTTCCGATACGGATCTCTTGGGAGAGTTCTTCTCTTGGGACGAGATGGGGTCTGGGTGGCTTGGCTCACCTGCAGGATCCGGCCAGGGCTACTTTCTGCTCTCTTCTCCCCAAAGCACCGCGCCAGGAGAGCTTGGCTTGGCTCTTTCGGGAGTCTTCGTCGGTTCTGCTCGGGTTGCACCGCTTCGGATCCAAGCCAGGCAGTTCCCTCTGGCGAGAGATGCTTTCATGTTAAGCCTCCCAAGTCAGACCAGTTCTGCCCGGTCTCCCCAACTTGCAAACGCCCGCCAGAGTGGGATCCAAGCGCAACAACGTTCACTCCTCTCCAAGCCGGGCTCCGCTCAAGCGGGACAACAATCACCTCCTCCTCCTTCTGCTCCCTCCTTGCCTTTGACTCCCGCGCCAGCCTCACGCGGAGCTCTTTGCACAATCTCTCGCCTTCCTGTGCCTCTCGCCCAGGTTTCGCTTCTGATAGGTTGCCGATTCAACGCTCTCGACGCCGATTGGCTGAAAGTGAGAAGCGCCGCATTCCCGGGATTGGAACGTTGTGTCGGCGGTCGCCGTGGAAACTGGGCACGTGCGGCGTGCTAGGAAGCAGCAGCAGCAGCAACAGCAAGGCGCAGGCGGAGGAATGCTCTTCTTTGCTCCTCCCAAGGTAGCATGGGTGCATCGGCACCAGGCATGGGCAAACTTCGTCCCTCCAGGTGTTTTGGACTCCCACTCCCACAATTGTTAAGAATGGTGGGAGTTGAAGTCCAAAACAGCTGGAGGACCAAACTTTGCCCATGCCTGATCTACACTGGAATGGCTACAAAGTGGAATCCACGACATGCGAGTGTGGAGAGGAGCAAACCACAGACCACCTACTGCAATGCAACCTGAGCCCTGCCACATGCACAATGGAGGGCCTTCTTACAGGAACTCCAGTGGTCAGCTACTGGTCAAAGGACATTTAATAGAATACCAAGTCTGCAAACTTTGTGTTTCGTTGGTTTGTTTGTTTTTTAATGCAGTACAACTATTTTGGTTCGCTCCTGACACGATAAATAAAAAAATAACTGGAAAGGATGCAGTTTGATACCACTTTAACTGCTCTGGCCCAATGCTATGGAATTTTGGGAACTGTAGTTTAGTGAGGCAGCTAGACTCTTAGCAGAGGAGGTTAGAGATCTTGTAAAAGGACAAGTCCCAGAGTTCCCTAGTTCAATTATATATTAAAATACTAGCCATCCCCTGCCACATGCTGCGGCCCATTCTGTGTGTTTTGTGTGTGTATACATGTGCGTATTTGCATATATATGTGGTTTTGTGTATATATGTGTGTGTATTTGCATATATATGTGGTTTTGCATGTGCGCTGTAATGTTGTTTTTTTTGCTTTTTATTTATTATTTATTTATTTACGACATTTATATGCCACCCTTCTCACCCCGAAGGGGACTCAGAGTGGCTTACAATACATACAGTATATTATATTATTAGCACAGTACAATATCAGCATTATCTTCTTCTCACAAAAAGAGAGTCTTCAACCTCAGCAAGATGGAGTGGATGAGGGATTGGAGGACATCCAACCCCAAATTGGGAAAGAAGTCGTCCAGGAATACCTGGCCGCTCTTAATGAGTTCAAGTCCCCAGGGCCAGATCAACTACACCCCAGAGTATTGAAGGAACTAGCGGAAGTCATTTCGGAACCATTGGCAACCATCTTTGAGAGTTCTTGGAGAACGGGAGAAGTTCCAGCAGATTGGAGGAGGGCCAATGTGGTCCCAATCTTCAAGAAGGGAAAAAAGGATGACCCAAACAACTACCGTCCGGTCAGCCTCACGTCGATGCCGGGCAAGATTCTGGAAAAGATTGTTAAGGAAGCGGTCTGCAAACACTTAGAAACAAATGCGGTCATCGCTAATAGTCAACATGGATTTATCAAAAACAAGTCATGCCAGACTAATCTGATCTCTTTTTTCGATAGAGTTACAAGCTGGGTAGATGCGGGGAATGCCGTGGATGTAGCGTACCTGGATTTCAGTAAGGCCTTCGACAAGGTTCCCCATGACCTTCTGGCAAGGAAACTAGTCCAATGTGGGCTAGGCAAAACTACGGTGAGGTGGATCTGTAATTGGTTAAGTGGACGAACACAGAGAGTGCTCACTAATGCTTCCTCTTCATCTTGGAAAGAAGTGACAAGTGTAGTGCCGCAGGGTTCCGTCCTGGGCCCGGTCCTGTTCAACATCTTTATTAATGACTTAGATGAAGGGCTAGAAGGCATGATCATCAAGTTTGCAGACGACACCAAATTGGGAGGGATAGCCAATAGTCCAGAGGACAGGAGCAGAATTCAAAACGATCTTGATAGATTAGAGAGATGGGCCAAAACTAACAAAATGAAGTTCAACAGTGACAAATGCAAGATACTCCACTTTGGCAGAAAAAATGAAATGCAAAGATACAGAATGGGGGACAATGCCTGGCTCGAGAGCAGTACGTGTGAAAAAGATCTTGGAGTCCTCGTGGACAACAAGTTAAACATGAGCCAACAATGTGATGTGGAGGCAAAAAAGCCAATGGGATTTTGGCCTGCATCAATAGGATCATAGTGTCTAGATCTAAGGAAGTAATGCTACCCCTCTATTCTGCTTTGGTTAGACCACATCTGGAATATTGTGTCCAATTCTGGGCACCACAATTCAAGAGAGATATTGACAAGCTGGAATGTGTCCAGAGGAGGGCGACTAAAATGATCAAGGGTCTGGAGAACAAGCCCTATGAGGAGCGGCTTAGGACTGGGCATGTTTAGCCTGAAGAAGAGAAGGCTGAGAGGAGATATGATAGCCATGTATAAATATGTGAGAGGAAGCCACAGGGAGGAGGGAGCAAGCTTGTTTTCTGCTTCCTTGGGACTAGGACGCGGAACAATGGCTTCAAACTACAAGAGAGGAGATTCCATCTGAACATTAGGAAGAACTTCCTGACTGTGAGAGCCGTTCAGCAGTGGAACTCTCTGCCCCGGAGTGTGGTGGAGGCTCCTTCTTTGGAAGCTTTTAAGCAGAGGCTGGATGGCCATCTGTCAGGGGTGATTTGAATGCAATATTCCTGCTTCTTGGCAGGGGGTTGGACTGGATGGCCCATGAGGTCTCTTCCAACTCTTTGATTCTATGATTCTATGATTCTATGATTCTATCTATTACTATATTGTACCATAACATTATATTGTAATATTATTAGTAATATTACCTGTAATATAAAATATATAATTATATCATATTATTATATTGTATTACAATATTATAAATATTATATGTATATACAATATATTACATTACATTACATTACATTACATTATTAGCATAGCACAGGAGACAAGGTGAAACTGTCTTCTGGCCCCCTCTCTCTTCCCTTTTTAAGCCTCTTCTGCTGTGTTTTTCCGTGATGGTCACTCATTGGCCTGGTAGGTGTATTGTGTCCAAATTTGGTGTCAATTCATCCAGTGGTTTTTGAGTTATGTTAGTCCCACAAACAAACATTACATTTTTATTTGTATAGATTTAGACAGATTGAAACAAAACCTACATACAAACATGAGGGAAACAGCAGCAGCAACAAAAGATTAAAAGTACTTTTCCTAGAATAAAAAACAACTACGAACAATCTGAATTATTTAATCACAGGTCTCTACATTCTGTGTTGGTGGTTACATTCTCTCAGTTTTCTACACCCATTTAGCGAAAAGGTACATCCTTTCTCACATGATAATACACTTCTAGTCCAAACAAACAGTCCATCTTTGCTGGACAAACACAATAAATGGGGCCCAGTCTTTCTTAAAGTTGGAGAATTATCCTCCATCAACATTGTAAGTTTATCAATTTTGGCAAATTCACTTATTTTCACAAGATCGTCATAGAATCATAGAGTTGGAAGAGACCTTGTGGGCCATCCCGTCCAACCCCCTGCCAAGAAGCAGGGAAATTGCATTCAAAGCACCCCTGACAGATGGCCATCCAGTCTCTGTTTAAAAGCCTCCAAAGGATGAGCCTCCACCACACTCTGGGACAGAGAGTTCCACTGCTGAACAGCTCTTACAGTCACAAAGTTCTTCCTAATGTTCAGATAGAATCTCCTTTCCTGTAGTTTGAAGCCATTGTTCTGTGTCCTGGTCTCCAGAGTAGCAGAACACAAGCTTGCTCCCTCCTCCCTATGACTTTCCCTCACATATTTATACATGGCCATCATGTCTCCTTCTTCTTGGAAAGGAATCATAGAATCTTTCCATCTTTGAGCATAGGTAATTCTTCCTGCCGTTATCATAGCAATAACCTTCCCCGTTTTCTTTCAAGTCGTTCATCTAACATCTCAAGCAGTTCAGGGTTCATTTCAAATTTGACTTTTAACAATTTCTTCTAAAATCGCATGTATTTGTGCCCTGTATTTCTGGGCCTTTTTATATGACCGCTACTTATGTTAAAAATGGCCCATCTTCTTTCATTGCCAACAATCACTAGAGATATTTTTTTAATGCATCTTAGCAATCCTTTCTGGATTCCGTAGTTAAAGTGGTGCCAAACTGCATTCATTCTAGTGTAGGTGCATCCTAAGTGAACAAAGTGGTAGACAACAAAAAATTACCTCATGAAACTGAATGTATACACACAAACACATTAGCAGTGCCCGGATTATTTGAAAAAGGCAGCATTTGTTTTTGAATTATAGCTGTCTGCGGAGATGGGAGGCTGTTTGTGTAATTAGACACCTCTGCCGCATACACACATACAGATTTTCAGTTTTATTATGCTTGTGTGTGTTTATATAACATTTGAGATGATTACCCCAAAGTCAATTTAAATATAAGGATTACAGTCCAAAATTCAAAGGAAAATTGTGTCAAAGTTCTTCTCCAATGGTCTTCCCAAAATGTGTCTTGAATCAGTGTGCTGAGATGTTGCACAAGCTTTACTAAAAAGCTGTACTTGCAATATAGGAAGGAGCTGAATACATTTTAAACGGTTGTAATGGTGATGAACTTAGAAACTGCAAAATCAGACCTTTATCAAGTCTTCCAAATATGTCTTTTAACAATAGAAACGTGTCAAGAACAAAGTGATGAAGAACTGCAACCATAATGCATAATAAGAGATTAATTAAGCTTCAGGAAGAGTTGTAGCTGAACTGTGATGATGGGGTGAATCATTTGTCTTTAGGCTTGAGATCCAGCCACCGGAGCACAGCGTGAGATCACCTCCGCAATAATGCCTGATACAATCACGATAAAGGCACTCTGAATCTGTTTTCTCCTTCTTCAGGCCATGTTTTAAAAATGTGGTGATTTCAAGTCGCAGTGCACCAAGAAAGGGAGGCAGTTTCTGCTACACTAAGACAACCTCCCAGGTTTGTCCCTTGTTCTTCCTACTTGCCTGGAAACAGGCCTTTATCCTGCTGAATCAAAGAGGGTGAGGCTGACCTCCAACAGGGAGGCTTAGATTCTGTTTTCCACTCTGAATTGTCTGTGGTGGCACAGTCAGGTCTGATACGGTAGATGGTGCACCCCACAGGATTGTTTTATTAAGTAAGCTCAAGGCCATAAATGCAACTCCACTCTTCCTCACTTTATCTTAACAACTACCTTGTGAGGCGGGCCAGGCTGAGAAACTGGGTTTCATGTCTCCATTTTGGCGAGAACATCACATATACATTTGGTTGGATGCAGGAGAGGACTTTCTTGGCACTTGCTCCAAGACTCTATGATTCCTAAACAGTCTAGACTGGGACTTTCCTATCCTATGCTTTCTAGGCAGCTGAAGACCTTTCTGTTTGGGCAGGTTTTTGAGTACTGACTGGTGGAGAGCAGGAGAGCCTGACATATGGTGTGTTGTTGATCATCACTTGATCTCGCTCCCTTGGGATGGCTCAGGGTGCTCTTTCAAGTGTTTGCTCTGAGCAGGAGCTGAGAGGAAGTTATCTTTGCTGGCTGGACTTAATTTGGTCAGGCACTCAATGTTTTCAGAATAACCAGAACATTGGCTGCACATTTCTCCAGCTCTGTTCATGTTCTGTACAGAAAAATAAGATTCTTTCCAAGATTTTTTTCTAGCCCTGGCTGGGGAATATGTGGGCTTGGTGGTGCTGTTCAGCTGCCACTCCAGTCATCCTTTCTCATGGGCTATGCTGGGTGGGCTATGGCTTATGGGATTTGAGTTGCCAAAATCTGGAAGGTCACACATTCCCCTGCTATAAAACGCTTCCCTGTGACATAAAGCAGGACAGCTATTGCCATGCTTTACAGTCTTCAGATGGAATGCTTGTCTTAGGACCATGAAAACCACATCATCTGCAAAAGGATGATTTAAAGACAGAATTAAAATGTAGTTAATGGTACCAAGGCCCCTTCTACACGGTCCTTATATCTCAGGATCTGATCCCAGGTTATCTGCTTTGAACCGGATTATATGTCTCCACTGCCAGATATTCTGGTACAAGCAAATCTGGGATCAGATCCTGGAGTATAGAGGAGGCCATAGACAGATCATCTTTCTTTAAAAACCCTATCCTAGTTTACCCTACCTTGTTCATGCCCAGCATTTTAAATTTTTAATTATTACATTTGGCCGCTGCCATAGGTTTTTAAATGCTGTATGTTATTGTTATTGTTTATTGCTTATTGTGTATTTTTTTGTTTTTGAGTTTTATTTTAACTGTTTTATATTGATTATTGTTATCGCTTTTGTTTATTGATGTGCTGTGGGCTTGGCCTCATGTAAGCCGCACCGAATCCCTTGGGGAGATGGTAGCGGGGTACAAATAAAGTATTATTATTATTATTATTACCATCATTATCATTATCATCATCATCATCATCATCATCATCATCATCAAAGAAGGAAGAGAAATTCTGGTTTTGTAAAGGATGTATGCCTGCCTATGAAGACTTTCAGAACCATTGAATAGAATTACGTTGCAGAACGTGGGAAGTTACCTTTAACAAGCAATTTGTTATAATGGCAGCCAAACGCATTGACTTCCCCCGGAGTAGTTCATTAGCATCATATATTATTTTTGAAAAATAACTATTTAACTTTTCTATTTCATGGAAAGTAACAAAAAGGGTTCACAATAGAGCACAAGGCACTGCTCAGGCAACAGCGGAAACAGATGACATTCTTCCTCTATTAAAACCAAATCCTGTGATTATGAAAATCAGTAAAAAAAAAAATGCTGTTACTAAAGAAAGGGCTTAAAACTGCCAATACAGCGCAACTAGAATACTCCAATATTTTTCTTCCTCTCTCTCTGGCTTATTTACCAATAGGTGAAATGAGTCTCCCTGGTGCTTTTACAAAATCTATTTGCTGAATGGTTTGGAAAAGTGCCTTATTTACTCAATCAGCTCTCATTAGGCTCATTAAAAGACGGTTATAATATCCGACTGTAGGCAGCCTCACTTCACACCCTGGAGTGCCGCAGCTCACCGGTTGGTAATAAAGGGGATATGGCAAGGTTAATCACGCCTGACGGTGCTACACCAATTCTTATGCCGCTAAGCACTCAGCAATGATGAATTCATTCAGCTCCTTTGCACTGGAGGGATAATGGGCTCATTCAGTGCCCAGAAACACTCTGGATTGTAAAGATTCTTCAAATTAGTGGGACGGCTTATGAATAGGGCCTCTTATTGCTTTGCCATTCTCCTACATGCATTCCCCCATCGTCTTCCCCTTCACCTGCTACACACATTAATGCTGGGGTCGAATGTATGTTGAGCCCCAAATAGATCTTCATGTTTCATGGCACTGAGTAGCATACTAAGTTAGTCCCATTCCAAAAGCTCAAGAAAAGTAACAGTATTCGAAACAGAAGCTGTGATCTGTCCCATCTGATACTTGAGAAAGCAAACAAAATCCTCCTAGCTTTTCATATTTCTCATAAGCAGAAGAACTAGAAACTGTTGAAAAGTGGAACGCAGAACACTATAGAGTGCTAATGGGACATAGTGGAGAATTCATCTCACATATTTTAATGTTAGCGATCCTGTTTCTGTGCTAACAAGCTTCAGCACAAGGATCACATTTAGAAGCCTAATGAATTCTCCACAAAAGGCTCCCACTTTTTTGAAGCTAAAAAACCTAGATTTTTTACATACAGAACTTTGAACTTTTAGTTGTCCTTGAACCTGTTCAATATGCACAGGGGAGGCAAACAGAGATGACGTGATTTACTGTGGAATTCAGGTACTTATAGCAGTGGGTAAGAATGTGAAAACAAGTGGCAATCAGAATCCATAAAGGAAAAGAGTTCTATACGTATTGTGTCATCCCAATTCAATGGACATATTGGTAGTTGGGTTTTGGACTACTATCAAAAATAAATAGTAAAGGTAAAGGTTTCCCCTGACATTAAGTTTAGTCGTGTCCAACTAAGCCAAAGAGCCGGTGTTGTCCGTAGACACCTCCAGGTCATGTGGCCAGCCTGACTGCATGGAGTGCCGTTACCTTCCCGCAAAAGTGGTACCTATTGATCTACTCATATTTGCAACCTAGTATTTTTGAACTGCTAGGTTGGCAGAAGCTGGGACTAACAGCAGGAGCTCACCCTGTTCCCTGGATTCAAACCACCAACCTTTCTGTCAGCAAGTTCAGCAGCTCAGCAGTTTAACCTGCTCCGCTACCAGGGGGCCCTGGTGAGTGAATGAATAATAGTAAAAAATGAATGTTTATTTCATTTTCTGATCTCAGAAATAGAGAATTATTGAAAGGCTTACCTGCACATTTAGAGTGAGTGTGTGGGAGGTTCCAGCTGAGAGAGAGTGAATGATATGGGCAGAGGCTGCTGTGAGGAGGAAAAATGGGACCTTAAAGCATGTACTTGATCATTTCCTCTCTGTTTCAGAGACTGGTGTGGAATGAGTGAGTGGAAGCAACCAGTGGCTGTCAGGCTTCCCTTCACCCCTCCAGGTATTCTGGGATAGTGAGGTTTTCTGGAAGCAGATTCAAGACCACCGGGCTATTCCTTCCCCTGTCCTGTCACACAATGCCAGCAAGCAGTTTTTCGAAAGAACACAATACCACACAAAGAACCAACCTGGGGGCTGTTCAGCACATTGAAAGAAAAAGTAGCTAGCTGGCTGTAAGAAATCACACTCGGCACACTGTAGAGATATAGATATATTTCTGTTGCATATTTAAGACAACTTTACATAATGCTTCTGACACAAAAGCTTTCGGCACTCATTCTTTGGAATAGGTTTCCATTTGAGCTCTGCCTGGCTCTCCCCCTTGGCTCAGAAGGCAGGACACAGGAAATGAGTCCCTTTTGCCAGGCTGAGATGCACCCCGAGGCCCACTCCAACAACAGGAAATAGAGTGGCTGGGGTGAGGGACTGGTCCCAATCAGCTGTGCAATGGGTTTGGCAACCCGCATCTTAGTTTGTTTAGCACCAGCACAGCTCCTATAAATCAGAACTTTTAACACTGGAGATCCCATGTGATCTGCACTTCTAATCCAAGAGGAAGGAAAACCAATAGCCAATCAAGGCAGGGAAGGCCATTCTCTGGAAAGGCTCAGACACAACCCTGAGACCAGAACATTCTTAAAATCCTGCTGAGATTGTTTCAGAACTCTGACCCTCAGGGTGCATTTCAAATTGGGGGGAAGGGAGGAGAAAATGCTTCTAAAATGCTTTCAGAAGCAGCCATAACCTCTCCCTGCTTCATCCCAAATCATCTGAATTAGCAGTTGAGAATATGTGCCTCCCTGGTGTTGCTGGTCTATAACTCCCATTGCTCATGACTTCTAGCCATACTTGTTGGAGCTGATGGGAGTTAGCGTCCAGAAACATCTGGAGGGCCACAACTTCCCCTTGGGTCCTGTCCTTAATCTTGATATGGCACACAATAAATATAAAATATATTCCAAAGGAGAGCATTTTGTCTTCACGTGTTTGTTTTGTAACAACAATTAGGAAAGAAGACACAGAAGCCCAGACATGGTTGTCCCCAGTTCAACTGGGAGTGGTTCACTTAGCATAGTGGGATGCACCTGAAGGATCAGAGCAGGCGAAAAAGATGATTGGACAGTAGACAACATTCATTACAGGTAAGTTCTCTCAAAATGGATGGAAATACCATTTTTGGCCAGGACGCATACAATCACAGAGGGATAGATTCTCCAAAAAACGAAATGTATGTGTGTGTACACACATACATGGGTAGAATCACAAATGATGCCCACTTAACTTGTTTGGCAGAGTTCAATATGAAATTGGGGGTTGCAACCATCAGGGGAAGGGGTGACACAGGTCAGATTAGATCAGCATGGCAACAGATGCAAACAAACAATGGATGACCAGCAATCCAACAACACATTTTAACCTCAGATTCCACACTATCTGGTTTGAGGATTTCTGGATGGGGCAGACAGGAGCATTCACTTAACTCTGCAAGACACTACTAATGCATGAATATGCCAGGCTGCAGGATGAAAAGGAGAAGGACATACACACACACAAGACTGAGAGTGATGTTTATGATAAGTATGCTGGGGTCATTAGCAGGTTTGTAGGTTTGGCACAATTGGCAGCTCCATTAAAAAGGATCCTTGGTACAGTTGCCAGGGGCCCAAGTGGCAGGAATAGCTCCAATTTGCAATTAGAGGGGGAGAGATAGAGAATCTTTCATAAATGTCAGCAGCAAGATCCAAACACGCAGCACCATGTGGAGGGAACCCAGCTATCCCCCCAGTTCCCACCACTAACAGAATCAAGTAGGACCGGGTCATCTTACAGTGGCAAAGAAAAATGAGAAATACTGAGATGAAAGGTGGGGGAGAGGATAGCAGGGTGACTGTGGACTCTATTGCACTCTGTTTTCATTATCCATTTCATATACATACAGACACATAAAAAATAAGGACAAAAAGGATGGCGTGGGAGGATGGGAAACGTGCCTGTCAAGCCAACATTCGCTGCACAAAAGATCCAGATGCAGTCAGCAGCAGCCTGGTTTCCCGTATTCTCCTTGCAACCCCACCCTGCCATTTCCCAGAATCCTCTGCCAGCAACCACATGGGAACAAAGAGTCCTGGTTTTGCAGAACATTGTCCACAGACAAGAAGGGCTTGCTTGCTGGCTGAAATGTGTTCAAGCCAGGAAGCTGTCAGCCAACTGGCCAGACTAGAGAGTTTCCAAAGCTTGGATTCATAAATACACAAGCTCCCCACATCCATATCTTCTCTCTCTTCAATCCTGAGATTGGTGGATGGGATCTCTGCACCATCATTGAGTCTCCAATGGGCAAGTTTGCTTTCTGCTTCATTAAAGATCCCTTTCTTGGGTTCACCCACATGAGATTGGCACCCTTTCATAGTATGATGTCTGAGCCAAGAGGTCTCCCTGTGGAGAGGAAAGGGCAGAATTGATCACCCCACACCCGTTGTGAGTGGGGAGCAATGCTTTCTCAATCCGAACAGTGTGCTGCTGGCTGCCCCTGCTACCTCAGCCGCCCATCAGGCTTGATGGCCCCCAGTTCTGATTTGGGGTCTGGGGACAGTGAACTCCAGGAAGTTTTGCTACAGAGTTCCAGGGTGGAGCAGCTGGATGGACTTGCCACACAGAGGCTGGCCACTGACCAGAAGTTGCTAATACTGCTGTCCGTCCAGTTTTCCAGAGCATGGCCAACCAGCTGCATGTGATGATGGGAGGCTCTCCCAGTTTCGTCCAGACGAGGTAAGCTCAAGATCCCAGCAAGACCCTGGAAATTCTGTTCCATATACTCATTGTGGGGAGGGCCAGCATGCAGCCACTTGCCGTCATCTGAGTCAGAAAACAGAAAGGAGAGGAGGTGAGCAGGGTCAAACGGGCTGTGAGAATTCATAACAAAAGTCTGACTGTGTATATGTGTAATTTTTTTTAAAAAAATCATTAACCTTATGGTTAGTTATTTCTCCCAACCAGCACAGAAGAATGGCTATACTGGCTATGGGATTCAGAAGTGTTTGGCCAAGAATGTCATTTCCTCTAAGCTCTGCTCTAGTTTTGCTCTGCTCCCGATCTACACCCTGTGAAATGTATTGTTTTCTACACCAGAAGATTTAGCAATGGTATCCAACTTGGACAGCTTTAAAAGATTTGATATCTTAATAGAGGATTTCAGTGGCTACCAGTCATGATGGCTATAAACTCCTTTCAGTACAACAGGCACCATATCTTACTATATCAATCTTTCAGCCACACCAATAGGAGGAAATATCTTGTGAGCTTCCCAAAGGTATCTAGACGGTCACTGATGGAGAAGACTGCCTGATTAGATAATCACTGATCTGATCCAGCTGGAGCTCTTCGTATCTTCCTATTTGGTTTTAAATGGACATTGTTAACCATCTTTGCATATGTTAACAATGTATATGGGGTATTTTGAATGAAACTATATGCAATTTTCCTGCTTCTTGGCAGGGTGTTGGACTGGATATCCCACTAGGTCTCTTCCAACTCCATGATTCTATGTGTGTTGACTTATGGCAACCCCCTGAATTTATAGGGTTTTCTTAGGCAAGGAATACTCAGAAGTGGCTTTGCCAATTTCTTCCCCTGAAATATAGCCTACAGCACCTTTGCATTTATTGATGGTCTCCCATCAAAATACTAACCAAATACTGACTCTACCTAGCTTGTAAGATCAGATGCCTCTAGAGTTAGCCATCTACAACACTTTTAAACAACCCAAAAGAGCAGACAAGCAGAATAATAACAAACAAACCGTGGCTTCATCTGCTTCCATTCTCTCCCCATTTGTCTCTACCAAACTGTCTCTTTTCCTGTCACCCTCCTTTTGGCCTGACGGAGAGAGAAACAGTGTACAGCAGCAGAGAAGCTGTAAATCCTGCCTACAGGAGAACAAAAATTGGGACTTGGAAAAGTTATTTTCTCATCACAATCTGTGAGATGTAGCATTCTTGTTTTTTTAAAGCCATTTTCCTCTGCTCTGGGGAGAATTTTGATCTTTGCAATGGCAGGTGCAACAGTAAAATAGGTAGGTTTGCTCCCATCCCATGAGTCTACCCTTACTGATGTTCTCAGGTAGTCAGAGAGGTGGAAAAAGTGTTAGTCTTTTCTTAGTGTGGCCAGGGAATGCAGAAGCAATGTGCCTTCCCATTTCTGCTCACTATCCTGATGCAAGGCAGGGCTAGTCCATCTCCAACTGGGCCAAATCAGTGTTGGTGGGGTTGAATCTTTGCATGTGTATCTTCATATCAATTAAGACTTTGACAACGGCATCAGCACTGCAGCTGCACACAACTTAACTGCTACATTTCTGATGCAAGAATGCTCTTTTGGAAGGAGGGAAGAAATATAAATATGCAAACAGTCAAGTCTCATTCTCTCTCCCCCCCCCCCCTGCACAGGCTGAAAATTAAGCATCATAGAGTTGAAGAGTCATAGAGACAAAGCACCTCTTCCTACTTTTCTTCATTCGAAATTGCACTGCAAGGATTTCAAGTGAGCTTTCACAAATTGTCCTATTCACACCTGTTTCAATCACAAAGTTCCCTATAACTGCAGAACCAATTTCCAGTTTCATTTATTTGAATCTAGGGGGAAATGATCTCTCTAGGAATTTGCCACATCTTTGTAAGTCTATGGCATGCTCCCCCCAGAAATAACCACAGAATTGTGTTGGAGGATCTAGCAAATTCCTAGTGAGCAGACCCAGGGGGAGAGTCAACATCCAGGTTAGTAATATGCATTATGTTTACTCTAACCATTGATCTGAATTAAAATGCTTTTCTAAAAATAAATGTGTACTTCTTTATGTTCTATGTTACCTTAATCTGTGATGATGGTCTACCATTCGCTGCAAAGTAGTTAGGTGTGGCCCTTACTGGGACTTTGTAGGACAGAAGCGCAGGCTACACGTTATCTTGTAAGAAACTCTGTCAAAAACAGTGAGACTTCCTAGTCAATATGCTTAGGATTGTACTGTAAACTCCCCAGTCAGGTTTGTGTTTGTATAGTGCAAATCCACATATCATGGGGCTTTGGCGTATCAGACCACAACCAGACAATATAAGCAAACAACACTAATCTTATGGGCACAGCCAGATTCCAGGAAGGGGGCATCGTGTCAAAACTCATTCCTTGAGGGACTACTCACACAATACACACTTTTTTCAGGTATTCTTTGCCGAAGATTTTTTGAACTGTGTCACTACAAATGCAGTATATGGTAAGACCACTGTGCGTTTACAAATATGGTAAGAGTCAGGTTTGGCTAAGGATTCCTGTTAAATTCACTTTCTGTAAAAAAAGAAAATGGGGCTGATTTCTGTGACCTTCCAGAAGTAATTTGGACTGCAGCTCCTATTGTTACAAGATTTTTTTCTGGCTGGGGCTTGCTATCCAACACATGGAGAGTTAAATGTCACCCACACCTGTGCCTCAGATTACATTTTATGACAACCAATGCCACTGATGAACAGCAATTCTCCAGCTGAGCTCTCTCACCTTTCCTGAGAGGCTGTTTGTGGTTGAAAGTTTGTGGGACTACCAGGAATTGGCTTTCCCCTAGGGGCTCCCAGAACTGAAGGAGGCGGATGGTCCACACGCCTGGACGGAGAGGCCGGTTGAGGGGTGGTTTGTACTGTGTGAACTCTGCCTCTGCATCCACTGTGATGTCGTAAGATGTGGCAATGACGTAAGCAGGGTCAATCCAAACCACAGTGGCTGTGAGGTTGGGCCCCCGCGCCCACTTCTGCATTGCCACGGGTTCATCGAAAGGTCCAATCAATCCACCAAAGTTGCGGAAGATCCTCTCCTTGGGGTCCCACTCAGTTCCTACCTGCAGAAAGAGCAGGGAAAAGGGAGACATTCAAAATGGGAATGAACAACATTACCACAGAGTGGAAAAAACAGTATGTGCATAATTTCTGTCATGCTATAGATTGCGAACAGGTAAGAAAAAACACATTTAGAACCTATTCTGATGAGTATAAGCTTGGGACAGCCACAATTCTAAACAGAATTTGCTGTGCATAAATAAACAAAAATATTAAAATAAGCCACATTTCATTCTGAACAAATCAGGACAACCACTAAGTATACTTAAGTATCAACACTGGAAACTTCTACATCACCTCAGGATATTAGATTTCTAGTTCCTGGACAGTCTCTTTGCATACTTAGTCATCCTCATCAGTGATCACTTAGGTCTGAGTATGATTGTCTTCCAAGCATAATGTCTTGGCGGTGGATCCTGTATGTTCTTCCGCAGTGAGGATATTGATTTCCAAGTGGAAGGTGGTCCTGGTCAGGATTAGTTTTATGTGCCTTCCTCTTGACACATTTTCCCCTTTTGCTCTCCATTCATGCCTCTTTGAATTCCACAGCACTATTGGTCACAGCTAACCTCCAATTAGAGAGCTCAAGGGCCAGGGCTTCCCAGTTCTTGGTGTCTGTGCCACAGTTTTTAAGGTTAGCTTTAAGCCAACCTTAAAATTTATGCAAGATGTTTTTAATGCTTTGTCTTTATGTTTAAATATTGTTTATGACTTATGTTTAATGATTTTAATGATTTTAATTTATAGTTATATGTTAGTGTTTAGTTATTATGATTTTTCCCCTTTCTACGTGTATGTTGGCATTGAATTTTTGCCATTAATATGTTGTAAACCACCTTAAGTTCCCCCAAGGGTGAGAAAGGAAGTATATAAATATAGTAAATAAAATAAAATAAAATAAAATAAGTAAATCTTTAAATCTCTTTTCCTGACCACCAACATTCCATTTTCCGTTTCTGAGTTGGGAGTACAGTGACTGCTTTGGAAGATGGTGATCGAGCATTCAGGCAACATGGCCAGCCCAGCAAAGTTGAATGCAATATTCCTGCTTCTTGGCAGGGGGTTGGACTGGATGGCCCATGAGGTCTCTTCCAACTCTTTGATTCTATGAAAGTTGATGATGGAAGTACACTGACATTTGTCCGTCTGTCTACCCAAGAGATTTGCAAGATTTTTCGGAGGCAACACTGATGGAATCATTCCAGAAGTTGAATGTGATGTCTGTAAAAGGTCGACATTTTGTAGGCGTATAACAGGGTTGGGAGAACAATAGCTTTATAAACAAGTATCTTGGTATCCCTACAAATGTCCCAATCCTCAAACACTCTCTGTTTCATTAGAAAAATGCTGCACTTGCAGAGCTCAGGTGGTGTTGTATTTCAGTGTCAATGTTGACTTTTGTGGAGAGGTGGCTGTCAAGGAAGAATAAATGGTTAACATTTTCTAACATTACACAATTAAGCTGCATTTCTGGTATTGCAGAGGGATTAGCTGGTGCCTACTTAAAGAGCACTTTGGTTTTCTCAATATTCAGTGAGAGGCTAAGCTTTTCGTATGCTTCTGCAAAGGTGTTTAGAGTGGCTTGTAGGTCTTCTGAATGAGCACAGACTACATTATCATCAGCATATTGGAGTTCTATAACAGATGTTGTGACTTTGGTTTTGGTTTTCAGTCTGCTGAGGTTAAATAGCTTGCCAGTTGTCCGACAGATGATTTCCACTTCGGTGAGAAGCTTCCCATCAATAAGGTGCAGTATCATAGTGATGAAGATGGAGAATAAAGTTGGTGTTGCACTCTAGACCAGGCAAAGCCCTCTAACTTTAAACACCACACAGTTGAGTAGAAATGCAATCCATTTATTGAAGATAATCAAAAAGAAGTAAAGTGAAATGCACTTTAAAGGAATAGGTAAATCCAATTTGGTAGGAAGATAAGCCGGAATAAAATAGTCCAGGGAATTAGTCCATCAAAGTCCATGAAAAACCAAGGCAGAAACTTCTGTAAGTTTCCAAGAAAACAGGAAACATGAATCCAAGGCAAATGAATACGAAATCATAGAATCCAAGAATCAAAACCATGAAACAAAGGCACTTTAAACATGAATCTTTTCCAAGCAAAGCTTCCAAGAAACAGGAACGAGATTTTGACTTGATTCCAAACAATGCTTCATCTGACTACAGATCCTGTACTTGGGACTTTTATCTCCTCGTTAAGCTATGTCCCAAGTGCTCAGAAATTGGTTTTGCTTTAGCTTTGAATCTCTTACCTTTCTTTCTCTGAGCCTGGCAGAACACCGAAGCCACTGCTCTGCTCTTCTTTTTCGACTAATGACCTCCTGTCTATCTATTTGCTCATTAATTTCTGCAGCTAGGCCAGGTGCTGAGCTGTGCTCAAGCTCCAAATCATGGGAATTCTCTGGTAGCAATTCAGGGAGCACACAATCATCCCCACACCCTTCAGGGACATTCTCATGAGAAACTACACTTAAAACAGGGATCTCCTGGTCATTCTCTGCATCAATATCATTGACCAGACCATTACCTGCTCGAAACTCATTGTCATCACTCCCCACATCTAAAGCATCCTGGTCCTTAAATCACAGGCTGAGTTCCAACACTTGGGGCAATAGCACATCCCTGTTTGACACCTGATTCTACCTTACTTAGTCACCTATGAAGCACTCATTTCACTGAGATTATCTGTAGGCAGAGCCAATGGTGCAGACCAATCCATTTGACACTATGATTTTCAACATGTCACCATTTGATTGGGACACGTGGTCATTCCATCCCATCTGGCTACAGCAGGTTCATTCTACCAGCAGGTTCATTCTACCATTCTACCATTCTTCATTCTACCATTAGCATAGTTTTTTTTTTTTTGAAGTTGTGGCAGATGGTTTAGAGCAAGAGAGTGAACTGAGATGATTTGCACAAAAGAATATATGGCTGCTAGTTTGGGATGGGGAGGAATACCTCATTGTGATTACCAAACTTGTAAGAAAAGACTTCTCCTAGAAAAAGAGCAAGGCAGTTAAAGTGGCACCAAACTGCTGTGAAGCGTATACTTTGAGGAAATTGAATTTTGTATCTTAATAGATGGTTCCTTCTTTCAGACAGTTTGTGCTGATAAAACTGAGAAGGCATAAGGGAAGCATAGAGCTGTATAGTATTTGAGAAGGATTAAAGAGTGATCCTGCCAGCAGGAGGCAAGATACAGGAATCCTACCTCAAGATGTTGCAAACGGTTTGTTTGCCTGGTGCGCCCTGCCAGCTTGAGAGTCCCCCGGGGCATCATCCATATTTCTAGAGATTCTGCCTGCTGGGTTACCGAGTTCTGTACTTCCTGATTCACCAAGTAACCTTGGAAATGGTCATCATAGAAATAGAGGTGCACACTTGATGGGAAGCCCTGTGGCTCAAATCTAGAGAAAACAATACAAGGAAATAATAACAACGATTAGTTGTCTGACATTTCCAACTGCTCCAAGTACTTCATTCGCATAAATGAGTTGCAATGCTTACAATAATCCTGTTCTTAAAAATCAATATTATCTCCCATATTACAGATTTTTGCAGGTGATAGTGAGGAGAATGAAGCTGAGAAAAAGTGCCTTGTCTACGATCACCAACTAGTTCATGGAAGACATAAGATTTGGACTAAGAGCTCTTTCATTATTTGCAGGACTCAGAAATAGGTCCCACTGAATTCAGTTGAGGCTCATTCTCAGGTCACTGGTTTTAAAATTACAGCCTCCATCTCTTACCCAGTAATACCACACAGGGGCGGCTCAACCCATTATGCAAAGTAAGCACTTGCAGTAGAGTTGATTTTGCCCAGGGCGCTCTTGAGGCGCTCTTGGGGGAAAATAGACCTTGACATATGCCAGTTGTAGTTACTGGGATGTATAGTTCACCTACAATCAAAGAGCATTCTGAACTCCGCCCAAGGATGGGATTGAACCAAATATGGCACACAGAACTCCCATGATGAACAGAAAATATATATCAGTGGTTGGTTGGTTGGGGGGGGGGGGCGTACCAAAATACTGTTTGCTTACCGTTGAAAATTACCTAAGGCCGCCTCTGATACCACACCACCTTCTAAAACAATGGTTCTCAATCTGTGGGCCCCCAGAAGTTTTGGCCTTCAACTTCCAGAAATCCTAACAGCTGGTTAATTGGCTGGGATTTCTGGGAGTTGTGGGCCAAAACATCTGGGGACCCAACAGGTTAAGAACCACTGTTCTAGAAGAATTGTGGCAGATTCACAGTTGAGTCAGGAATCCCAGGCCGTATCTACACTGTCATATAATCCAGTTTCTGAATCCAGATTATCTGCTTTGAACTGGATTATACACAGCCATATAATTCAGTTCAAAGCAGATAATCTGTATTCAGAAACTGGATTATATGGCAGTGTGGATGGGGCCACAGGCTCTTCTATTCCTCTTACCATTAAAACCCTCTTGGATGGAACTCACTGATTTTACAATCCCTGTCCCTCTTTTTTTGTGCTACCTTAAACTGGTCAGACTATCACTCAATCTAATCAAGCCCCATTTTTGCCAAATAATGGTAGTGGTCAATGCAATTTTGCCAACTGTGCTAGTGCTTTAAATTAAATGAATGACTAAATACTGGATTACTTACACACACAGCCTATGTTTTTATATTTATAATTCTCCACTGATCTGATTGCACATGGCTCTCCTCCATCCCCCTTTATCTTCATAGAAACCTTGTGAAGCATGCCAGTTAGAAGAAGTCATCTAGCAAAGTTAATGGCTCAGTGGGAGCTAGATCCCCCAAGTCCCAGTTCATCCTCCAGCCCAGGGGTGGGAATAACCAACCCCCCCCCCCCCAGATGATGGATTACACTTCACCCTAGCAGACCAAGGCAACAAGTTCAAAAGTGAGGGATAATTGGAGTTCCAGCCTGAAAACATCTTTTAAGATGATGTTTTAACTGGTTTACATGTTTTTAATTGTTGGCTTATGTTGTATTTGAATAAGATGCTGTTCACTCCCTTAATTCACAGGGAGAGGCAGGTAAGAAATAATATTATCAATATTATAATCATCTGAAACCCCACATGATTCCAACTCTTGGCTAAGCATCACATTGGCTCTCTGATACAACCCATCTCCAAGAGTACAGGGTCACAGTCTCCCCTGGCAATTAGGAAGCTGTAAGAAGTAGAAAACTGGAACGTGAACAGTCAATGTCAAGCTATCTAATCAGTGATTGGTCCATCAATCCACCAACAAAACCCTCTTTTATTCCACTTCAGAAAGTGAATGCATCATTTGATGACAAGTACCTGCAGAATTTCTCCTCTTTCTGTGTTGGCGTAGACATCGCTTTCTGTAGGCCCAGCCTGGAGAAGGATGTGTACACAGTGAGGGTGACGTCGCTGAGCCCACTCAGCCCATCCACGCGGTCATAGACACTTTCCCAATAGGCCTTGAGGGCTGGCGTATTAGGTGGGTAGTTACCGTAGAGGTGAGAGTCCAAGATCTCTAGCACTTCCTGATTGATGGTCGATTCAAACTTCCTGGCAAAGAACGTGGGTCTGGAGAGTTGCTGAAAAGATACAGACATTTGATGGGGTGGTGGTGGAAGGAGGTGTGTTACAGCAAAAGCTTGAAACAGTTACACTTAAGACTACAATTCCATGAACCTGCTGGCCATGCTATCAAAGTAACTAAATCAAACTCTGCTGTAAATACAATTTGAGATAGAAAAGCTAATAGAAAAAGACTTGGAAACTAAGGAAACCCAAGTAAATAAATCTCATAACCTCAGTCCCAAAATGTCTTTTTGGCTATACAGTTGGGTTTGATGTAGTAAAATGGTCTTCTTTATATAATGAAAAAATCAAGGTTTGATTTATGAAATTTTAAAAGAATTATTTTAAAGCCATGGGTAGTTGAATCTGTGGATACAGAGTGCCAACTGTATACTAAAGCATATATAACTGACTGTGGGGCATGCCTCATCTTCTACTACAATCTATGTTTGTGAATCCATGGTAAGTGTCTAAGGCAGGCAGGGGAACAACACAGCCCCATAGATGTTGTTAGACTTCAACTCCCAACATTTCTTGCCATTGGATGAGGTGGCCACTTACTAAATAAGAAGAGACAACTCTAGAAAGAGAAATGGGAAATCTATTCTCATCAAACAACTGTCGATTGCTCAAACTGAAGACTGAGTCTGGATTTAGGGAAGTCATGCTACCCTTCTATTCTGCCTTGGTCAGACCACACCTGGAATATTGTGTCCAATTCTGGGCACCACAATTGAAGAGAGATATTGACAATTTATTTATTATTTATTTATTTCAATTACTTCTACCCCGCCCTTCTCACCCCCGAGGGGGGACTCAGGGCGGCTTACAAGCGAAGGCAATTCGATGCCTATATCACATTATACAAAACATACAAAAACAGTTTAAGCAAATTAACAGATTAAAACATCAATACATAAACAATCTCATGCTCAGTGTTTAGAGTTCCGAATGTCCATTCCGTTCCATCAATTCCTGCTCATCATCGGGTTTTTCCTTTAGCTGCCAGAATGCCCAAAGGCTTGGTCCCACATCCAGGTCTTCAGTTTTTTCCTGAATGACAAAAGGGAGGATGCTGATCTAATCTCCCCGGGGAGTGAGTTCCACAGGTGAGGGGCCACCACCGAGAAGGCCCTGCTCCTCGTCCCCGCCAATCTCACTTGCGATAGAGGCGGGGTCGAGAGCAGGGCCTCCCCAGAAGATCTTAAGCTCCGAGATGGGACGTAGAGGGAGATCCATTCGGACAGATACACTGGGCCAGAACCGTATAGGGTTTTGTAGGTCAAAACCAGCACTTTGAATTGTGCTCGGAATTGGATCGGCAGCCAGTGAAGCTGGCACAACAGGGGGGTGGTATGCTCCCTGTATGCCGCTCCGGTGAGCAATCTGGCTGCCTCTCGCTGGACTAGTTGAAGTTTCCGAGCAGTCTTCAAAGGCAACCCCACGTAGAGCGCGTTGCAGTAATCCAATCGGGATGTAACAAGAGCGTGGACCACCGTGGCCAGATCTGACTTCCCAAGGTACGGGCGCAGCTGGCGCACAAGTTTTAATTGTGCAAAAGCTCTCCCAGCCACCGCTGAGACCTGGGGTTCCAGGCTCAGCGATGAGTCCGGGATCACTCCCAAGCTGCGAACCTGCGTCTTCAGGGGGAGTGTAACCCCATCTAACACAGGCTGTAACCCTATGCCCTGTTCGGCCTTGCGACTGACCAGTAGGACCTCTGTCTTGTCTGGATTCAATTTCAATTTGTTAGCTCTCATCCAGTCCGACACAGCAGCCAAACACCAGTTCAAGGTCTGGACTGCCTCCTTGGTGAGCTGGAATGTGTCCAGAGGAGGGTGACTAAAATGATCAAGGGTTTGGAGAACAAGCCCTATGAGGAGCGGCTTAAAGAGCTGGGCATGCTTAGCCTGCAAAAGAGAAGACTGAGAGAAGACAGGATAGTCATGTATAAATATGTGAGGGGAAGTCATAGGGAGGAGGGAGCAAGCTTGTTTTCTGCTGCCCTGGAGACTAGGACGTGAAGCAATGGCTTCAAACTACAGGAAAGTAGATTCCACCTGAACATTAGGAAGAACTTCCTAACTGTGAGAGCTGTTCAGCAGTGGAACTCTCTACCCCCAAGTGTGGAGGAGGCTCCTTCTATGGAGGCTTTTAAACAGAGGCTGGATGGTTATCTGTCAGGGATGCTTTGAATGCGATTGTCCTGCTTCTTGGCAGGGGGTTGGACTGGATGGCCCATGAGGTCTCTTCCAACTCTATGATTCTATAATTCTATGATTCTATGATTTGAACAGACAGAATTGAGTTAGGGGAGTGATGACCTGAAAGATATATATTTTTAAATCATTGTTAACCACAAAATTAAAAATACAACCAAATGCTATATTTGCTCTTACATTCCTAATAGTAAAGAAATCCCTGTAAAAAAGCTTCAGAAGCTGCATCTAAAGAACAGTTTCAGCCAAATAATCTAACTCTGAAACCTTAGTTACCACAATGACTGACAGTTTGGTTTGGTTTGTAGATTCTTTCATTCAGTCTCTGCTGAGCTCTGAATGGACCAATCTGTAAGACAGTGCTCTTAAGAAGTGCCTTTTGGAAAAACTGAGAAGCAGTATCATTTTTAAGTAGGATCAACAGAGATTTCGTATGTCTCTGAAGTCTGATGCTGCTGAAGGCAACTTCCACAATCCATCCTCATAGCTCCTGAGCTCACAAGTTCATCTATCTCCATTGCAGGAGCATGCTGTCTTTTTCCTTAAATCCCTGCATTGGTTTCCTCTCCAGCTTTGTATAAACAAGAAGGCTCAAGTCCTAATCGCTATGGCTCTGAGCCACCTCTTATCTTTCCCAGCAGTTTCTTCCCTTTATCAGTTCTCCAGACCCTTATCTCCCTTCCTCACTCTTATGCCTTCTGTAATGCTGTGCTCTGCCCTTCAAAGTTGCCTTTTCTGAAGTTGTTCCTTCCATTTTCTCTTTTGTTTATTTTCACCAAATCACCACTTCTCCATCTTACCTGCTCTTCTGCTGCCATTTGACCAATGACTGACCACACATTTAAGCCTTCCTGTTTATTTACTTAATATGTGTCCTGCTTTCTTCTAATATCGGATGCAAGATGACTTACAATATAAAGTTGAAAAATAGTGTAATTTTGAAAAACACAATATACTCATTACAAAAGCCATTCTGCCCAACCAGTTAAAGGTTGATGACCTATTTAAACAAAAAAGGTCTTCATCTGCTGGTTGAAAGACAGTGGGCAAGGGGGCCAACCAAGCTTTCTTTGGGAGGGAGTTCTACAGCCACCAAGAAAGCAGCAGCCACCAAGAAAGCTTTTTCTCATATCCTTGCCAGATAAGGCTGTGAGGATGGATCAAGAGAAAGCACTTGAAAGCCTTTAAAACTCAAACAGGCTTATATTGGGATAAACATTTTTTCAGATACGCGGGACCTAAGCCTTTGGCTTTTTTGGCTATGGCTGACAGGACACAGACAACAAAAATTCTGAGGATCACTCAGAATTTCTGTGCACTTAAAACTCTTTTCTCCATTCATTGACCTTTCCATGCCTTGTTTCCTGACCCAAATCTTATCATCAAAAAGTTGGGGTTTTTTGAGGGGGGGGGGGGAGATGTGCCACTTATTGTTGGACCTCAGTTCCCATCAACCTTGTGCATCGTAGCCACTGGTGCGGAAACACAAGAGTTGTAATTCCATGAGCTCTGGAGGACCACCAACTGCTCATTCCTGCTCACAGTATCCTGGATTCGAGAGCCACTGTAAAACTCACAGTGGGAGAAGTTGATCTATTCTAAATTATGCAGAAGAGGAAAAGAATGATAGATCTGATTACAAGGGCCAGGAATAAAGCAAGACCAGATTTAGAGGACAGTGGTAAGTACCTGCAGTCGCAGGAAGTCTTGTGGTTTGAAGTCATTCGGTGAGCAGCCACACCAGTCTACAATGTGCTTGTACTGGCATTTGCAGCCCAGCTTGCGGTTCCAGTTAGTCACACGAAGGTTGTTGTCTACCAAGGTCTCACAGGCATGGCTGTTCTCCAGAACAGTGTGGAAAAAGGACTGTATATGCACACACAGAGAGAACATACAAGACCAGTGAGCAAAGAAGCAAAACACTATAAAGAACAATTCTCAACATTCAAAGTGTGCTGTGCCCTAGATGGAGCCACTCTTTCAAGGGCAAGTTTGTGAGAGCTGTGTGGTCTACCAAGACTGCTATACTCTGAAACAAGACAAACCTACCTTGCCAAGGAGAAACCTCAAACTTGGGTGATTGGAAGACTTTATTTAAAATAAGCTACATCTGTTTGTTGAAAGTATGGCATTCTCTCTGCAGATTTTGCCTTTATCTTGCCACTGAATTTCCCTTGCAGGGACTTAGAAGCTGGCAGAGAACATGCATCAAAGTCATGGGTAATGGCATAAGTAGAGGTTAGTATTGGGGTGGACCAGTTAGGGTTTCCTGGGCATTTTGCACCCATTGTCAGGACTGTAGGGGAAGTCTCTGAAAACTATAGAATGGTGGAATTCTGTTTGGATTTCAACAACTGCAGAATTTGCAATATGCTGTGAGATGTTTGCTCTTAAAACAACTACATGTGCAAAGCCAGCCTGTTCTTTGCTTCTCTTGAGATTTTCTTACTATCTGCACTGTTGACCGAAGAACTATAAATGTCAGTATTTATCCAGTGGTTCTCAACCTGTGGGTTCCCAGGTGTTTTGGCCTGCAACTCCCAGAAATCCTGGTGAGTTTATCAGCTTTTAGTATTTTAACCATGACCTTGCCTTCTAAAATTTGGTTACTGCAACACATCATGTTGTTTTTAAAGTACTGTATTACTTTGGAAATGCCTTTGAGGAACACCCCCCCCCCCCACCAATTAAAGAGTGAGTCTCTTTAAATGGTCTTTTTAACTTATGATGATGTTTTAATGTTTAACTGTGTTTTTATTATTGTTGTTGGCATCTAATGGTAGCCAGTTGTAAGCTGCCCTGAGTCCCCCTCCGAGGGTGAGAAGAATGGTATATAAATGTCTGAAATAATAAGAAATAAACCACTGCACTACATGCTATATTCTGGGCAGTGGCAGGTAAGCTAAGAAAAAAATCAGCCCAACTACTGAATGCCTTCGGCAAACCTCCCTCTCTAAAATACAACCCCTTTAAAATTAAACTGTACCATTGAATTCCATATTATGTAGACTGAACTGAATACTTCAAACTAGATCAGGGAAAACGGGTGGTCATTGACTCTATTTCCCACCATTGCAATGTTGGGGGATTATGGGAGAAGTAGTTAATCAATATCTAGAAGGCCTCAACTCCTGGTATTACCACTTCACAACATTGTCCTGGACACAAGAGGGCTGCTGTGAATACGAATGGAAAACATTGCTATTCAATCTGAGTCAGAGAGATGAAGTGGGAATCATTAAAAACATTAGCACAGGAGTTTAAGGTTTCTGGAAAATCTGTCTCATGAGGTCTCTTTCCCTTCTGCACTAAATCATGATATAAACATTTGCTTCATACATTTCCTTTCAGAAGCTGAAATGCAATAATCCACAAATGAAACACTGAAGCAAAAATGAAAGAAGATTATATAAATTATATGGGCACTTTCCCCACATCCTGGAAATATCTACACTTTAGACTTTTCTCCGTTTGAAAAAGCTACTTTTTTTTCCCTTTCGCATAATTGAAAGAAAGCCAACTTCCATTGATGATGGGAGGTGTAACTTTTCTTTGTGTCCCCACAATAACCCTTATGACCTTATAATTGATTTAATAAGATACAGCAAGTTAAAAATGAGAGGAATTGCAAAACAAGGACCTGCTCATATGACAGTCTCACAATAAGTCAACCCAGTGACCTGAATAGACCAAGTATAAGAAAACAGATTAGAAATGTACTTGGGAAGAGGACCGTACCTGTTGCAACTTCAGAAACTGAGATATTCCAGAGCACAAAATAACTACCCTTGGAAGCCAGAGTTAATAACTGACTAGGTAACAGGGTAAAGTCAGTATAGTAGATAGTCATATTCTTTGTGTTCTGTTATTGCCTTCCTACACATTTATAATGAAATTAAAACTAATAAGTATCTTTGGGAAGTAGCAACCCATTTATTTTTGATTATATGTAATTTAAGAGGGCAGACCTATGACCACAAATGCATACCATTGAAACTAAAATGGGAAAGAGAGAGGGAGGGAAAACATATGCACTTAGTTGTATGTGTTGCACATTTGTAGGTCTGGTTAAGTTATGGCAACTAAGAAAGCGAGAAATAATGTTACGAGAGCTTTGTCTGGTTTGTGCCTCAGAGAATGTCAATTAATTCTGTTGCTGTTATGTATGGTCAGGTCAGATGACTCTATCCTAAGGTTTTCTTTGCAAGACTTATACATCGAAATTCTGCTACTGTCTTCCTCTGAAATTGGGAGACTGATATGTCTAAGATCACAAAACGGTTTCCATAACTAAGTTGAGATTCAACCATGGTCTCCCCAAGTCTAGTCCAACACTCAAATTATTAAACCACACTGGCTCTTGTGCCAATAGTTTGCATAGGTGCCATTTGGTACAGAGAAGATAAATAATCAAGTGTCAAGGTTACTGCCTTTATTAGGGAGACAGCCTATGCAACCTAGGAGCCTTTCATCCCAACCCCAGGCACAACCAAGGCTAGTATTAGGGATACCCTCAAGTCCTTCTACTTTAAGCAGCTGGCCAACTCACCTCTGCTGGGAGAAGTGTGTATGTGTAGAACTGCCGCAACTGGGAGACTAGCCGGTCGCTGGTGTAGACCACGTACTCCACAAAGCTGCGAGTGAGGGCAAACCAATCTGAGCCACCATCCACCACGATGCCCTCTGGGATCTGCCTCTCCCCCAGTCGCCACATGTGAGAGTCACATTCATGGAAGAGCCGGTCTAGGCCTTGCTTCTTGATGAACCTGTGCAGTGAGAAATGGCTTGGATTCACTAAAAAGCAACACTGAGATTTCTGCCCCATAATGTTGAACACTTAGCAAGCACTGACATCATACTTGCAAAGTGGCTTTAGCTAATATTGCTCTCTCCAATGAAGTGCCTGCATATGTCCTTTCCTGAGGGCCTTAAGAATTTCCTTCCGGAGATGTAACCACTGCAGCAAAAGTATGATATGCTCAGAAGTGGAAAAATAAAGCAATACCAATGACTGAGGTAATATTTTTGAAAGATTGGGAACTAGTAAATATTATACAAATTCAAATATTATACAAATTCAAAGTGCAGGTTATCACCTATAAAGCCCTTTAGGATTTGAGTCCAGCCTATTTGCGTGACCGCGTCTCCCCCTACAAAATCATTTGGTCCTTAAGGTCCACTGTGGAGGCTCTCCTCACGGTCCCATCACCCTCACAAGCACAGCTGGTGGGGATGAGGAAAAGGGCCTTCTTGGAGGTGCCCCCCCACTCTGGAATGCCCTCCCAGGCAGGTCTCCTCCCTAGCCACCTTCAGGAAAGAATTGAAAACATGGACATGGAAGCAGGCGTTCAGAAACAACTAATTTATAACTTATCATGATGGTGGTTTTATATCTGTACAAATACTATCTGGCTGAACTGTACAAATACTAATTGAATTGCACTGGTGTACAATTATATTTTAAATTCAGAAAAAATGTCAACTTGTATTTTTACTACAATATTATTATTCTTGTTTTTTTATATTGCCATTTATGTATTAGGCTTTACTTTCACTTTGATTTTATACTGTGATCTATTTTTTGTAAGCTGTCTCGAGTCCTATTTGGAGAGGGGGTGGGATATAAATAAAATTTATTATTATTATTACTACTACTATTATGCTTATAGATTTTAGTAATTAGAAGATTAAGTCAAGCAATAGACATATATAAATGGTAAATATAATCAGAGAGGTTGCTGGTTATAGTTATGTATAATCATCATAAGGAAAGTTGGAAGTCAAAATAGTTTTTTCTTTTTCCTTCAGTAGCAGATGTGTTATTTGTACTTTTGAAATATTATGCATACTGTCTTGTGATTAAATATCTAGATTGACAATAATAATAACTATTTATTAAAATAAAGAAATATTGTCTTGAATACAAGAATGCATATATTTGGTTACATTAACTACTATTCATATATGCCACACATAAGCTACAGTTCACTGGACAGCTAACAATAAATGTTTTAAAATATATAATGGAAGAGTTGAACAGAAATTATTTCAGTAAACAGCAGCAGCAGAGAATTAAAAACTATGGGGAAGCTAACAAGAACAGGATTAGTTCTCAAGTTGTAACTCTAGAAACATCACTCCTTTCAATCAAGAGCTAAATTTAATTTGCCATTCTCAGATAGACTACTGCACATTTTGAATTAAGTGGTGAACTGAGTAATGATTTACCATTCAGAAACTGATTTTACTAGTAGTTAGGCCACTGATATTCATGTGCAAAAGATTGGGAGAACAAGTGCCAAAAGCACAACAGCAAAGGCACCAGGAAAGTCTCTCTGCAGAGGACAGTTCAGAACTATGGTGATGCACCAAGCAAGCATCTCACTACAATTTATTATTGGTCACAGTTTATTTATTAACCTGTTTCCAGGTTAATAAATAAATCTCCCAAGCCTCTGTGGGAATTACCTGGCATTATCTCGGCCATGAGACTTGAGGAAGTTCTTGTCTCGGTATTTTGATAGGAAAGTCACCAGCTCCTCATTGGTCCTGCAGGGGGCAGCAAAGGAAAAGAGAGGTGAGACAGCAAAGCTTTTCAAAGGGGCCAATTAAGGTACAAGGGGAATGGAGGAGAATGCTGGCAGCAGTCCCATGCATGCACATTTTGCTGAAGAACTGAAAAGAGCCTTAACGCATTTCAACCACGGATTGGAAAACTATCTTTTTCTACACCAACCCCCAGACTTCCTCAGCTGAGGACAGCAAACCCAAGAAGCATACAATTGTATCTCCATTGCACCCTGACCACATTCATTGATACCCTGGATAATACAGTGGTTCCTACATTAACAGCTTTTTTTCTCTTTTAAAGCAAGCAGTTGGCCTGAATAAGCCTTACAAGCCTTGGTTTCCAACACCTAGATAACAAGAGAAAGTGTTCTTGATCAGAAACCCAAAGCAGTCAGTATCTTCATCTTTAACACGAACTGTTCTTACTTATTATTTTTTTCCAAAATACTGGTTTTAAGTGCAGTCTGGGTCTCCTTAAGGCAGGGGTCCTCAAACTTTTTAAACAGAGGGCCAGATCACAGCCCCTCAAACTGTTAGAGGGCCGGATTATAATTTGAAAATAACATGGATGAATTCCTATAACACTGCACATATCTTATTTGCAGTGCAAAAACACTTAAAACAATACAACAATTAAAACTATGAACAAATTTAACAAATATAAACTTATTAGTATTTCAATGGGAAATATAGGCCTGCTTCTGTCTGATGAGATAGGATTGTTGTTGCTGTGGTGTGCTTTCAAGTCATTTCAGACCTAGGTTCACCCTGAGCGAGGGCTGGGTAAATGATCTTGGAGGGCTGTATCCGGCCCTCAGGCCTTAGTTTGAGGAACCCTGCCCTAAGGTTTCCTTTAATACTGAACATTGCCACACATTACCACTATAAGATAAGCTTTATTGGTGGTAACTGAAATTACAGAAGGGATACGGCACAGCATTCCTATATCTCTCATGGCCAATGGTAGAACTGGGCTCATAAATAACTAAATAACTCGTATACTTCTGTTTAAGATTACCTCATGTGCACAATCAAATAGCAGGTTATATGGAGAATATGCATGTTGAGGTGCAATTCTCCAGGTAAGGCCAATGATTGACTCTCATGGGTATGGAAACAAACAAAATCAAAGGGCACAAGCATGATCCGTTTCCCCCCAGAAGAGTACTAGACCTATGCAAGCAAGTTATCTGCAGAAGAAACTTCATTCCCCCCATTTCCCCTTTCCATAGCTCACCTGGTAGGGTAGTCTGTGGCACTGAGGTTGATGTAGAAGTCCCAAGTCCAGTCTGTCATTTCCAGCAGGTCCTTCATACTGTGCAGGTACATCTTCAGCAAGCTGGCTCCACCCCAGATGGTGACCATTCGCCAAGGTGTGACCCGGATGTTGGGATAGTGCTGGGCCATCTCCACCACTTCACGGTGCAGGTAGGTAGAACGCTGCAGAGAAAGAGAGAACAGAGAGGAAACAACTGGTGATCAAATTCAAATCCTATAGGAGTTGTCTCAAGGAGGATAAATGTTTAATTCAAACTTTCTAGAGCAGCTTAAGGGATAATTATGGAAAGGTTTTAAACCCTGGCGTTTAGATCAGATTTATAACAGAAACTCCAAAACACAGCAGCTTTCATTTGCAAGAATTCTAGCTCTCACAATTTAAAAAACCTAACAATAATAATATCATCTTCTCTTATCTCTTCTTTCTTAGCTTCTAATATATTGGCACTTTATGCTATTCAATACAATAAAACCCTTAAAATTTATCCAGAAGGACATGCAGAATCAATAAAGCAGTTTGTTGTGTCTTACCCTTGTGACAATGACTATTCTTTTATTCCACCTCTTGCATTCCCACACTTTTCTCATTTTGGGTTCAACCAATACTTCCCACCCACCCACTGTGCAGCCATTGGGAGCTGTGTGGTTGTGGTTAGAGTGTGAAGGGATGGGAGTGTTATTTTGCGATGTGTGCTGGGGAAAGCATTTAATTTCGCTGTACAGTGTGCAATGACAATAAAATTATTCTATTCTATTCAGTAGCAGGCAATCTAAGTGCACACAGCCTGCTATGTCTTACCTTGTCAACGTGGATGTAGAAGAAATGTTGCTGGTGGTACACGGCCTTGATGAGGCGCTTCAGTTGGCGGATGGCTCGCCCATGGACCACCAGCATGAAGGCGATCCGGACTGGCTGGCTGACAGAGGCCTGGAGCATCCTGCTGTCATCCCACTGGATCACTGGGCTAACTTTCCCTGTAGGGTTCAAGAAGGATCACATAAGTAAGGATCAATGTTAGGAATGAGTGAGAAGGAAGAAAAGAATGCCATCAGTGCAGTAGATCCTGAGACCAAAATCACTTTTAGGTCAAAAGGCAAGCTCTATTTCTTTCCTGATCCAATATGTAGGGTTGAAGAATAACTAAAAGTAGTACAGTATATTCTGGCGTATAAGACTACTTTTAAACCCAAGAAAATCTTCTCAAAAGTCAGGGGTCATCTTATACGCGGGTGTAGTCTTATGCATGGGAGTGGTCTTAACTCTATATTTTAACTGGAAAAGTTGGGGGTCGTCTTATACACCCAGTCGTCTTATATGCCGGAATATACGGTAGTTTTATATTGCTGGGCAGCCAAACAATAGCTGCCAAAGTGTCTCTGGGGCATTAGAAATCAATACACTATCTAATACCAAGGGAAGAAAGGAAGGGGCATCTTATTAACATATAATCTGTCTATGTAATAAGGGGTAAACAAAACCCAGCTTTCAAAAACACACCTTTGTAAATATGATCCATCCTGAGAAATGACAGAAGCAATTCATGTTTTCAATAGACCCAACACCATTTAACGTTTTAAAATACAATTTTTCAAAAAAGCACAAAGCACAAATGTTTGGCCAGGTGAAGCTTTGCTTTAGTTGTTGGTTGCGTACGTTCCACTTTGCTGAGCTGTGAGATTTTAGAGAATCTCAGGTCAGGCAACTGAGCCTCAGATGCACTACTGTTGGCCCCCTCCAAGCTACAGATGGATGTTGAAGAATAAATGAAATGGGTAAATTCAAAGTCACATGAAGGTCAGCAAACAAGTAAATCCAGTACTGACCTGAGAGCTGGCACTGCCGAGGCACAGAACGTGGCATCAGCTTCCCAGCTTGGTGAAGACACACCACGTTGGCAATCTCCTGCTGACACTGCTTCGAGCTGGCCCTGGTTAAGGCGGACAAGGCATCCTTGCCCATGATCTCGCACTTGGGAGTGAAGTTGTTTTCAGTGGGCTGAGGTGCTCCTTCAACGCTGCCGGTGTCTCCTTGCTGGAAAACTGCCATCTGAGCATCCCCTCTGAGATCACTCAGGTTCCTTTGGCTGGAGGAGTCCAAGTAGACGGGCAACCTGTGCCCAGGCTTGTGCTTCACTGTGACTGCCCGCACTACCTTGGTGACCAGGACCCCAGGGCTGTCTGGCCGATTCTTCCATCGGCCATGCTTCCTGTTCAAGCCACCCCTTCGGCCTGCGGAGCTGTCCGAATCTTTGGAGCTTTCACTGTTTTCAAGTAGCTGGGCCTTCTTTTGCCGGGCCTTCTCATTTTTAGTCAGACATTCAAAAGACAGAGAGAATAAGAGCAGTGGCATGATTAATTTAAGGGTTCATCACCAAGGTATTTTGCAATACATTTTAAAGCGCTAGCACCCATCATTTGTTTCTAAAGAATAGGAGCATTTAAAATGCCTAAAGTAGCAATGTACCCAACATATGCGGTGTATACTGTTCATTATAGACAATTGATTCCACTTGCAAATAAAAGGGGGAAAAAGAACCTGACTTTGGCGTGCCTTTCATGACAATGTTTATGGGACTAGCAAAATATGTTCTTGGGTGGCAAAGATATCCAAAGTTCAAAATCAAAACTAATGAGATAGCAAGAAATGAAGGCCCATCAGTAGGAATTAGAAAATGCCTAAGGCAGGAAGTATACATTTTAATAGAAACCGAAAGCACATGAATGTAAGTGGTTTGACTTAGTGCAAAAGGCTGAAGAGTTCCAAAGGTTAGGTGCAATCACACAGAGGCCCTGAAACTGCTTTAACTAAAAGTGAAAGTATGCACGTGGATGACCTTGTATGTTTGTGGCCCATTTTTGTATTGCCTCCCACTTCCTGAGACCCTCAGCAATGATGGATCTCCATGACCCCCCCCCCCCCATCAACAGAACATGATGGAAGAGTTTGGGGGACTGACCCAGCATGCTGTGAGTGGAAGTTCACCCCACATCCAGAGAGTGCTCTGAATTCCACCAATGACAGATCTGGACCAAACTTGATGCAAAGAACCCCCATGACCAACAGAACACACTGGAGGGGTTTTTGAGGGGGGGGGGTGTAACCCAGCATTTGTAGCTCACCTCGCAGCTAGAGGGCACTCTGAACCCCACCGATAATGGATCTGGACCAAACTTGGGACACAAAACCCCAATGAGAAACAGATCATACTGGAGGAGTTTGGAGGGAATGACCCAGCATGGTGGGAGTTGTAGTTCACCTTGCATCCAGAGAACACTGTGACTCCTACTGTCAATGGACCTTGACCAAACATGGCACACATACCCAACATGGCTAACTTTAAGTACTGGTGAAGTTTGAGGGGGATTAACCTGGCATGATGTGATTTGTAGTCTATCTACATCCTTATGCATTTTCTTCATGAGACTATCTGTAAAATCCCACAACAATGTCCTTTCAAATAAATAGTGTTACAAATTACCAAATGCCTTACCCAGCCATCGTCAGGTACCTACTTGTTAATAATTGACCCTACAGTCATAGTATGATCAGTTCTTATCATCTCATATCAATGATTGTTCTGGCCACAGGTGGTGAGAAACGCAGTCCAACATTTGATGGGCTGCATGTTGTCTAGCCCTGTTGTACATTACTATGGCTGCTCCAAAATAATGCAACTTTTCGACCTTCATTTCTTGCTGTCATCACTGTATTATTACCCCTATTGTACAGTTATTTGGGTTCAAATGTTATCTCCCCCCCCTTTTTTTTTTAAAACATGGCACCAATTAAAATCAGTTTAAAGGTAAGTCATTTTTTAAAAACAAGATTAGTTCTCATTCATAGTCCTTCAGGTTCTCAGGCAGGCAAAGAAAACTCGTGAATAAATCTTGCCAAGAAAACCCTATAATAGGTTCCTCTTAGGGTTGCCATAAATGGAAAATGGCTTTCAGGTACACAACAACAAAGTGTAGTCATGAACTGGAGAGTGTCCACAATAAAATAACACTCTTCTTCCAGTAGTACGCATGTTCAAAATGGTTTAGAGATGATTTCTTCTTTTTCGATATTGCTAAATCTGATGAAGAAGATGAAATAGCGCTGAACTTTTCAGCTGAGGGTTCCAATCCCCCTTTTCTAGGATACACCTCTATTTTCCATCCCACTACTTTTCCTTTGCTGAGAATATTCATTCCTTTGCTATTGTCTGCTTTGTTGTGTCATTTCTGACTTATTACAACCCTGAATTAAACTGATACCAGAGGGATTTTTTAAGATGAGGGAGTAAGACTTGCTAAAGATCACTCAGTGAGTCCTCATGGCCAAGCAAGGATTCAAACAATTGTCCAGATTCACAGTCCAACACTCAAACCACATGCCATTATTCATCTGCATTAGTTTTCATTTTCTCAGCTTTGTTCTCCTTACTTTTGTAAACCTGAAGGTCTCCAAGATCAGCGTTTCTCAACCTGGGGTCATGGCCCCTGGGAGGGGGGTTCACGAGGGGGTTTCAGAGGGGTTGTCAAAGACCATCAGAAAACATGTATTTCTGATGGTCTTAGGAACCCCTTTGGCAGAGAAGGTTGAAGATCTCTCCGCCTGTCCTTCTCTTCCTTTTTGGAAACAGATGGTGAATCCTCCCACCAAAAGACCTCCTCCACTGTGATTGGCTGGCCTCTCAGCCAAGTGGAGGGCTGTTTCTAAGACTCCAAACAGGGAGTGCTCGGTGCATGGCAGCGTGGTGCGCATGTGCGAGTGAGGGAAAGTGAGTCCTTTCAAGGCATGGGGGTTCTGTGTAGGAAGTTTGGCCCAATTCTATCAGTGGGGTTCAGCATGCTCTTTGATTGTAGGTCAACTATAAATATCAGCAACTACAATTCCCAAATGTCAAGGTCTATTTTCCCGAAACTCCACCAGTGTTCACATTTGGGCATACTGAGTATTTGTGCTAAGTTTGCTCCAGGTCCATCACTGTTTGAGTCCACAGTGCTCTCTGGATGTAGGTGAACTACAAATCCAAAGCTCATGATAAATGCCCACCAAACCCTTCCAGTATTTTCAGTTGGTCGCGGGAGTTCTGTGTGCCAAGTTTGGTTCAATTCCATCGTTGGTGGAGTTCAGAATGCTCTTTGATTGTAGGTGAACTATAAATCCCAACAACTACAACTCCCAAATGACGAAATCAATCCCCCCAACCCCACCAGTATCCAAATTTGGGCATATCGGGTATTTGTGCCAAATTTGGTCCATTGAATGAAAATGCATCCTGCATATCAGATATTTACATTATGACTCATAACGGTAACAAAATTACAGTTATGAAGTAGCAACAAAATTAATGTTATGGCTGAGGGTCACCACAACATGAGGAACTATATTAAGGGGTCACAGCATTAGGAAGGTTGAGAAACTATGTCCTAGAGGCATGCTGATACCTACATCTCTCACGTTGGTGTCCTCATTTTGGCAAGAATCCTTATTTGGATTGCTAATTAGTACCCATTTTAGGTAACAAGCAGAAAATTAATCCTCTCTACAGTGCTCCCTATATTTTAAAATGTTTTTAAAACATCTTTTAACTGTGTGAAAATACAAGTGTGTCGTGACTTATGCAAGGACAAAGACAAAGACTCACCATGGTGAAAACACTTCCTACAATCCATTTTTTCATGGGACTGTATACAGACTTTATTTTCCACAACTAGAGGAGCTGAAATTTGCTTTCATCAGTGAAACCGACTGGATTTGATGCAGCTTGCAGGCTGACCTATGGTCAAGCGCACTTCATTCTGCTTTGTGAAGTGTGCTTGATAAATAAGTTTTCACTGCTTTACCAGAAAGCTTCTGCTTTACTGCATTATGTTTGTACTCTACTAAATTGAACTAGGGATGACTTTCATAATGAAACTACTCCACTTCTCCAATCCTCATTCTGCTGCCCATGTTTGCTCACAGGAACAGGCTTGTCTAAGTACATTTTATAGACAGCAAAGCTGTTTGACTGGTTTAAGAATACCTGGGGGAGATTCCAATGTGGCACGTTTAGTACTAAAACATATCAGTGCCAGAAATGAGCTCACCTAAAGACTAATTTGAAGATGGGACTCCCAGGTCGGAAGATGGCCAAAATGCTACTGGGGAGGAGCAGAGGATAAGTTCAACTAGCCCCAGATGTGATGACGCAGCTAGCTCAAAGCCGAAAGGAAGGCTAGCGGCCGACGGTACTGGAGGTGAACGACGAATCCGATGCTCTAAAGATCAACACACCATAGGAACCTGGAATGTAAGATCTATGAGCCAGGGCAAATTGGATGTTGTTATTGGTGAGATGTCAAGACTAAAGATAGACATTCTGGGGGTCAGCGAACTGAAATGGACTGGAATGGGCCACTTCACATCAGATTACCACCAGATCTACTACTGCGGACAAGAGGAACATCGAAGAAATGGAGTAGCCTTCATAATTAATAAGAAATTCGCTAAAGCGGTGCTTGGATACAACCCAAAAATGACAGAATGATCTCAATTCGAGTGCAAGGAAAGCCTTTCAACATTACAGTGATCCAAATATACGCCCCAACCACAGCTGCTGAAGAAGCAGAAGTAGATCAGTTCTATGAGGATCTGCAGGACCTACTGGATAATACACCAAAAAGAGACATTATTTTCATTACAGGAGACTGGAATGCCAAGGTGGGAAGTCAAATGACAACAGGTATCACAGGCAAGCATGGTCTGGGAGAACAAAATGAAGCGGGACGCAGGCTGATAGAATTTTGCCAGGAAAACTCGCTGTGTATAACGAATACTCTCTTCCAACAACCTAAAAGACGGCGTTATACATGGACCTCACCAGATGGTCAACACCGAAATCAGATTGACTACATCCTTTGCAGCCAAAGGTGGCGGACATCCATCCAGTCGGTGAAAACAAGACCTGGGGCTGACTGTAGCTCAGATCACGAACTTCTTATTGCTCAATTTAGAAATAAAACTAAAGAGATCAGGGAAAATACACAGACCAGTTAGATATGATCTCACTAACATTCCTAGCGAATATACAGTGGAAGTGAAGAACAGATTTGAAGGACTAGATTTAGTAAACAGAGTCCCAGAAGAACTATGGACAGAAGTCCGCGACATTGTTCAGGAGGCGGCAACAAAGTACGTCCCAAAGAAAAAGAAAACCAAGAAGGCAAAATGGTTGTCTGCTGAGACACTGGAAGTAGCCCAAGAAAGGAGAAAAGCAAAAGGAAACAGTGATAAGGGGAGATATGCCCAGTTAAATGCGCAATTCC